TGAGGCCTTAACTGTTATGCTATCAGGGCTCCTTGATAATACATATATAGCACTATTTTTATTATATCCATTCATGACAAGTGGGGAACTAGTTTGTTACAGGTATCAGTGATCACCTCGATTTTTTTTTCTGTTTTTACATGGTTATTATTTTATTTTACAAATATGAACACTGTATTGTTCTCTGTGTTAATTTTATTTATAACCAGTGTGATATTTCTTTGAACTTCTATACCAAAATAAATGTAAGTATCTTTGCTGTATCTGTCAGTGTATTGTAAAAAGAGTATCCCTCATGAAGTTCAAGAGCATTTTCATGAGCAAGGGCTGATACTGAGAAATTTAGCTGTAAAAAAGAATATATTGTGGAGAGTGTTTCGGTACTGCCCGCCCCCACCCACCAGGAAATATGAATGTAAAAGTTTTCATTGTACAGTCTGTAAGGGACTATTTTAACAGTTGATGAACATATTTTTGTTCTAAGATATAACAGAGATTCTGAAACCATAAAGTGTTACATTGTATATGACTTTTAATTGTACCAAGAAATACAGTATATGTCCAAACTATGTTTACATGCACATTTGAAGAATAATTTGTAGAGGAATTTTTTAAGGTATGGATTATGCTTGACAGAAATTCATAACTACTGATATCCAAGGATAAACATTAATTGTATTTCAAAGCTTTGTGATGAGTACCTTACAGTGAGACAATTGAAAATTATCCCAAAATTTGTGACCCAGAGTAGGAAGTCGATGTACTTAGACATCAAAATGTGTAACATTTATTTTATCACTATTGTGACAGTAAACTCAATTTACATACATAATTGGGAATTTCTATTTTGTTCCATTGTACTAAATGTTTCAAACATTTCTTTCTGATTACAGCATCTTCTGGTTGATGTTAACACATAATGTGACGAATACAGGTTTGTTTTTCCTAACCTTGGAAAAAACTGTTTTGTTACTTAAAAAAAGCAGTCCTAAAAATGCAAATAAGATATTATCATAAGTTCCAGAGAAAATGATTAGTGCTACATCTGCTGGAACCCCCTATACAGAGTTTATATGTGTAATTGATGGAACCCCACGCTTCTGTCAGTGTTTCGTACTGTGGTAGTTTGCCTGTTGCTGTGGTGCTGGAAGCGATGCCACCAGTACTCAAATAACAGCAGGGTAACCCATAGCACACAGGCTTCAGCTGAGCCTCCAGACCAAGAAAGACTAGAAAGAAGGACCTGGCGGTCTACTTCTGAAAAGAATTAGCCAGTGAAAACTTAATGAATAGCAGTGGAACATTGTCTGAAATACTGCCAGAAGATGATCCCCTCAGGTTGGAAGACACTCAAAAAACAACTGCGGAACAGCTGCCTCCTCAAAGTAGAGTGGACCTTAATGACGTGGATGGAGTCAAGCTTTTCAGACCTTCATTTGCTGATGTTGCAAGGCTCAAAATGAGAAGAAACAGTTGCAAACATTCATTAATAACAGGAATGTAGAATGTATGAAGTATGAATCTAGGAAAATTGGAAATCATCAAAAATGAAATGGAACACATAAACACTGAGATCTTAGACATTAGTGAGCTTAAATGGACTGGTATTGGCCATTTTGAATTGAACAATCATATGGTCTACTATGCTGGGAATGACAATGAAAAGGAATGGTGTTGCATTCATCATCAAAAAGAACATTTCAAGACCAGACGAGCTGTGGAATGACATCAAGGACATCATATACGAAGAAAGCAAGAGGTGATGAAAAAGGAAGAAAAGACCAAAATGGATGTCAGAAGAGACTTTGAAAGTTGCTCTTGAACACAGAGTAGCTAAAGTGAATGGAAGAAATGATCACATAAAAGAGCTGAACAGAAGACTTCAAAGACCAGCTCAAGAAGACAAAGTAAAGTATTATAATGGTAAAGACCTGGAGTTAGAAAACCTAAAGGGAAGAACATGCTCAGCATTTCTCAAGTTAAAAGAACTGAAGAAAAAATTCAAGCCTCGAGTTGCAACAGTGAAGGATTCTATGGGCAAAATATTGAACAGCATAGGAAGCATTGAAAGAAGATGGAAAAAATACACAGAGTCACTGTACCAAAATGAATTGGTCGACGTTCAGTCATTTCAGGAGGTGGCATATGATCAAGAACTGATGGTACAGAAGAAAGAAGTCTAAGCTGCACTGAAGGCATTGGTGAAAAACAAGTCTCCAGGACTTGACAGAATACCAATTGAGATGTTTCAACAAACGGATGCAGTGCTGGAAGTACTCAGTCATCTATGCCATGAAATTTGGAAGACAGCTACCTGACCAACTGACCAAAAGAGATCCAAATTTGTGCCCATTCCAAAGAAAGGTGATACAGGAAAATGCAGAGATTATCGAACAATATCATTAATACCACACACAAGTAAAATTTTGCTGAAGATCATTCAAAAGTGGTTATAGCTGTACATTGACAGGGAACTGCCAGAAATTCAAGCCAGATTCAGAAGAGGACATGGAACGAAGAATATCATTGCTGATGTCAGGTGGATCCTGGCTGAAAGCAGAGAAAACCAGAAAGATGTTTACCTGTGTTTTATTGACTATGCAAAGGCATTCGATTGTGTGGATCATAACAAATTATGGATAACATTTAGAAGAATGGAAATTCCAGAACACTTCATCATGCTCATAAGGAACCTGTACATGGATCAAGAGGTAGACATTCAAACAGAACAAGGGAATTCTGCATGGTTTAAAGTCAAGAAAGGTGTGTGTCAGGGTTGTATCCTTTCACCATACTTATTCAATCTGTATGCTGAGCAAATAATCCAAGAAGCTGGACTATATGAAGAAGAACAGGGCATCAGGTTTGGAGGAAGACTCGTTAACAACCTTCGATATGCAGATGACACAACCTTGCTTGCTGAAAGTGAAGAGGACTTGAAGCACTTAACTGATGAAGGTCAAAAACTACAGCCCTCAGTATAGATTACACCTCACTATAAAGAAGACAAAAATCCTTACAACTGGACCAATAAGCAATATCATGATAAATGGAGAAAAGATTGAAGTTGTCAAAGATTTCATTTTACTTGGATCCACAATCAACACCCATGGAAGCAGCGGTCAAGAAATCAAAAGATGCATTGCATTGGGAAAATCTGCTGCAAAATACCTCTTTCAAGTGTAAAAAGCAAAGATATCACTTCAAGGACTAAGGTGCATCTGACCCAGGCCATAGTGTTTTCAATCGCCTCATATGCATGAGAAAGTTGGATGATGAATAAGGAAAACTGATGAAGAATTGACGCCTTTGAATTGTGGTGTTGGTGAAGAATATTAAATATATCTTGGACTGCCAAAAGAATGAATAAGTCTGTCTTGGAAGAAGTACAACCAGAATGCTCATTAGAAGCAAGGATGGCAAGATTACGTCTCACATACTTTGGACATGTTATCAGGAGGGATCAGTCCCTGGAGAAGGACATCATTCTTGGTAAAATAGAAGGTCAGCGAAAAAGAGGAAGACCCTCAACAAAATGGATTGACACAGTGGCTGCAACAATGGGCTCAGGGATAACAACTGCGAGGATGGTGCAGGACTGGGCAGTGTTTCATTCTATTGTACATAGGGTCGCCATGAGTCGAAGCCGACTCAATGGCACCTGACAACAACACAATAATAAGAAAAAGACAACCCAATACAAAAATTGGCAAAACATTTGGCCAAGTACTTCGTTAAAGTTCATATATTAATAGCCAATATACATAAAATTGTTCAGCTTCATAACTCATCAGGGAATGGAAATTAAAACCATAAAAGCTATAACTAACAAACCATCCAGAATAACTAAAAGTAAAGGTGTTTACTATAAAATACTAACAAGAACTTGGAGCAACTTGAACTCTCATATGTTGCGGGTAGTGTTGTAACTTGATAAATCACTGAGAAAACTGTTTGGCGGTATCCACTAAAATTATTTTTTTTTTTTTTTCTTTTTGGTATCCAACAATTCCATTCCTAAGTATAGACCTAATAGAAAAGAGTGTCTTTGTCTACAAAAAGACAGTATAAGAATGTCTCTATCAACACCATCCATAATGACACTAAACTGGAAACAATCCAAGTGTTCTTTAACAGTAAAATTGAAAAACAAAATACCTTTTCATAAAATGCAATAACATACAGCAATGAGAATGAATTATTACTGCTGCCCACAACACCATGGATCACTCACATCAACAATATTGCAGAGTTTTTTATCCACTGTGCCACCAGGATTCCCATTGAAAGAATACAAACACAAAAAGGTACATATGTATGATGCCGTTTATATGAAGTTCAAAAAAGAGGCAAAAAAACAATCTTTGGAAATGATTGGTAAGGTGTACCATATGTCTCTGGTAATGTATTTATTTGATCTGTGTTACATTGGTATGCTTACTTTATGAAAATTCATCCAGCTGAGCAATTATGAATTGCTTATAAATTACATTTTAATCTAAGTTTATTAAAAAAAAATAATATATAACTCTTCTTATTCATTATCTAGAGGAGCCCTGGTGGTGCAGTGGTTAAAGCCCTTAGCCGCTAATTGAAAATGTGGGCGGTTCGAATCCACCAGCCGCTCAGAGGTCAGTAAAGTTTACAGCCTTGGAAACCCTATGGGGCAGTTCTACTCTGTCCTACAGGGTCACTATGAGTTGGAATGGACTCCACGGCAACGAGTTTGGTTTTGGTTTTGAGGTATTCATTATCTGTTTCTTCTACCTTGCCTTTAGGGAGTGTTATTATTATTATTATTATTATTTTAGTTCTAGAGTCAAATCGAGATTTAAGTGCCAAGACAGCTCACGCTTAGCAGCTGACACCACCTACCATCACAGTCATCCTCCGCTCTCACAGTTCTTTGCTTCTTGCTTAGTGTACGGCCAGGTCGTGCTTCCCCACGCGCCTAACTGGCCAACTGCCATCATTCGGGTGGGAACCGAGGGAGTCAAACCATGTTGAGCCTCCTACTTCTGCTCTTTGGGCTCAGCGGACTCCGGACAGACTATGGTAGGTAGGAAAAGCCCTCTGCTCTTTTTTCGGGAAATGTCAGCTCTCCTCTCCCTTTCTGATCAGCGAGGCTGGGCGTTTCTGGGAAGGTGCTTTCTTATGGGGGCTTCAACCCTGCAAGCCCGAGGCCACTCCTACATTGCCGCCTCCTCCAACCAAAATGCACATTAGATGGGTGGGGATTCTCCCACTCCTCCTGCGACTATAAGAAAGAGAGAGCCCTTGGCGCCAGTGAAAGCCTCCGGATTGGAGTTTCAGATCCTGCCCTGCCTACAGAAATATTCCTAAAGCTATATTCTTCTTTCTGTTTAAAACTCGTAATTATAGAAAGAAGTAGAGATGAGAGAATTTGAAAAGATGGTAGCATGTAGAATGCAGAGTTTTAATTTAGATGTGTAAGTAGGAAGCTATGAGGTAGTGAGTGTTCTAATAATCCATTTTGCTCCTTATAGATCCTGGACAACTGGGTTTACAAATTACAGTTCCAGAGAAAATAGGATCAAATGCAAAAGAAGACTTTGAATCACAAGTAATTCAGTACTATCTTTTTTCTTTTGCTATTTGAAATAATTTGACTATTTCTAAGGACTTAACTTGGTGTTGTCTGTCCATAGGCATTTAATGGATTTTGTAGTGGAAAATCCCTTTTGAAAATGAATCAATATTAAAAATCCTTGTTAGGAATACAGTGCAGTCCTTCCTGACATCACGCCCCAATCCTTAACAATGAAATACAAATTCCTCCTAGGTAGTATCTTTAGTCAAAAAAAAACCATACAAACAATTAAACCCTTTGCGGTTGAGTGGATTCCGACCCATAGTAACTCTATAGGACGGGGTAGAACTGCTCCATAGCGTTTCCAAAGAGCAGCTGGTAGATTTGAACTTCTGACCTTTTGGTTAGCAGCCTGAGGTCTTAACCACTGCACCACCAGGGTTCCTATCTTTAGTCACTGCTTAGGGAATTAGCTAATCGATTCCAGCTAGGGAATTTTCTCTCTCTCCCACTCCAAACCCAGCTATGTGGAGGGATATGATTTCAAGGGGCTTACTACATGAGCTGATCGTAGATTTGGTGGTGTAATGCCTTAGTAGTTTTGCTATTTTATTGCAAACATAATAATTAAGAGGAATCTTTTTGATGCCATTTTAGTTCAGTTTTGGAATCAGGGCTATGCTGTTTTTTTGTTTTTTTTTTTTTTTTTTTTTTTAAGATTAAGTGAATAGCTTCTCCTAAATTCTGGAGTAATTTCTACAGAAATGAAATTGTGTTCCTTCAATCATTACATCTCAATTTTTTTTTGATTGATCATTAAGGTGTTATCGTTATTTGGAAGGTCTTTGTCTCTTCAGCTTCTGCTTCCTGGTTCCTTGGAGATCTCCTTGTGTGTTGGCATCTATCTTACCCCATCTCTCCTCTGATCACTTGTTTAATCTCTGTTATATCTTAAAAGAGATTGACTCAAAACAACCCTACACTAATCCTGCCTCATTAACGTAGCAATACAACCCATTCCCAAATGGGATTATAACCTCAGGCATAGAGGTTAGGATTTACAACACATATTTTTTGGGGGCATAATTCAATCCATAACAAACTTTTTTTAAAAAAGTGAATAATTTCAGTTAAATAGTAGAAGAGGGGAAGAGAAAACTAGTGAACTGGTAGATCTAACAGAAATTATCAAGACTTAGCAAAGGAAAAAAAAAGTAAATCTGAAAGGAAAGAGAACCGAATGATATATTTAAATGTTCAGATATACATATTGGCATTCCTGAAAAAGAGAAATGGATGAGGGGAGAATATTAGAAGGATTAATAAATGGTAACTAATTTGAGAGGGGCCAATTTTTTTTTCCCATAAGGATATCCAATTGACTCAGCCTCATCATTTATTGAAATATCTATCCATTCCCTACATCTCTGCAGTACCATCCTCATAATTAGTTGTCTATTTTCTATATTTGTGAAAATTGTTGGCTATTCTTCACCAAATGCGTCTTCATATAAACTTAAAATAAGTTTGTCAATACCCACAAAATTATCTATTGGGATTTTGATTGGATTTGCAATGTATTTATAGGTTAATTTGGGAAGAATTTATATTTTTGCAATACTGAGTACCTATTCCAATCAGGGAATGAGGTATATTCTGTCAGTAAATTAAGAATTCTTTAATTTCTTTTAGTATTATATAATCGTTTTCTTTATAGTGTCTTAAAGATATTTTGTCAGTATGTTAAGGATTGTATATTTTTTGATACTACTGTGAATGTATGGTTTTTAAGATGTCATTTTCTACTAGTATTTTCTAATAGTATTTACTATTGTTACTGATTTTTGAAAACTGGCTTCATATATAACCATGTTGCTAAATTCATTTATTAAGTTTAAAATAAATTAAATCAATATGTAGAATATACAAACATAGAAGAGGTAAAATGTATAACAGCTATATAAACTATTATATGCTAGTAACTAATTATTTGATATTTTTTAATAACTTTTTCTATTTAGTTAACTTATTTCATGCTATATCCTGTCTATTTTGTGGTGACCTTAATCTTTATTAAGCCAACATAATTACTGCATGAAAATTCTTTGATTTTCAGATTGCATTGTTTTGTGGGATAAATTAATAAATTAACAAAGAATTACACAAGTGATATAATTATGTCTGTTAATTTAATATGAACTCCAATATTTTAACATCAAATCCAATTAAGATAATGATGTCCACATTGAATTCCAATTTTTAAATTTTATAACTGTATTATGTAACTTAAAATGAAATTTCATTGCTATTAATCTAAACTGATAGTTGATCTTTGTAATATTCTCAGTTTACTTTGTCTTTTCTACATGTTCTCATGCCAGGTGTTTTACAAACTATTAATTGAAGGGAAAACATACACTGTGAACCTCACACAAAAGTAGGTAACAGTTTCTTTGCTTTATTTATGAACAGTTTTTTGTAATCTAGAAATAATAACTTTTCATTTGGAAATGTTTATAATTACTGTTTTTTCATTTACCTGTTAATTTCTCTTATCATTTTTAAATTTGTCTAAGATGTATAGTAGACATTTACAGATCAAATCCCCAGCATTTGTTCCTATCTTCTTCTTTTTTAACAAAAGCAAACTTCCATTTGGATTTCTGTTTGTTAGAAATATAAAAAGTCATGAGTGAAAATGCAATATGTATGTTTCTTGGGTTTTTCATTTTAATTAGAAAAAAGTACTTAGCAAATATAAAGAATTCAGTAAATACCCATATACTTTAAGTATCAAACTCTACAGAGAATACATTTCTTTTTTTTTAATATACAACCAGTCAAAAGCATTAAATAAAGATGACATACTGGAAAACAAAAGTTTGACTGACAGTCACATTCTCTGACTCAACCCAATCAAATAGAGCGTTTAATCAAAGAAGAACTGCTATTTACATAGCAGTCTTTCAAATAACTCTTGGCTCACAAAAAAATTCAATACTCTTATTGCAAAATATTAACAAAGTAGTGACAGATACAGCATCATAATTAAATTTGGAATATGCTCAAAACTATAACCATACTAAAATGCAACGTATTTATACTTTATGTACAGTAAATGAGAATAAAGCAAGTACTACTAGGGGGAAGAAAGCATAGACAGTACTGCAGTTGTTGTAGAGTGTTTTTGTAGTCCCCGCTGGTTGAGACACGAGGCCTCTGTGACCCATTGTTACTGGTTTGCTCTACACCCTGCAGCCTGTCTCACAGCTGTCTGGATAGCTGGTTACTTTGAAGCCTGGCCAACAGTTCATGCACGAACACAGTGATTCCACTTGCATTGTCAATAGACTGAGGCATAGACTATGTTTCAGATCTAGTTTGTGTGGAACTAGTATTAATCCTTGTCCAATATTATTCTGTCAAATATTATTGTCAAGGGACAATATTCTTTGACAATGGACAGCAACATAATATGATGATTTCCAAGGGTCTTCAAACATGTGAAATGAGCATGTGTTTGACACACCTCAATTGTCCAGTTTCTGTCACCAGAACTCTACATGACTATCA